AAATTCGAGTCGACCTGCTCATAGAGCGGCGACTTCGGCTCCGCGTGGTGGTGGGATAAGGTTATGGCGAATTCGAGCTGGTCTGCTCATAATTTTATGAGGTTCAGAAGTTTGTAAGTGCGGCGGACTACAATGGAGGAGAGAACAGGAAGCTGGGGCGTCCAGACGGATTGGTTCTCCTAATTTTGTTAGGCGCGGCGGAGGCGCGACGGAGGCGACGGCTAATACGAGACGGAGGTCGACCGGCGTGGCGAGATGGTGTTCTTCTCCGGCGGCTGTGCACTAACACGAAATTTAAGTGAATACATACGGCCGCCGGAATCCGGCAGGGGATGGCGACGATCGGCGACATTGTGGGGCGGATCCGGGTGGCGGTTGGGCAGAGCTGGGCTTACGTCGAGGCAGAGCCGACGTGAATGTGTGTGTGCTTGATCGGGGTGAAATTGTGTGCGTATTGTTTGCAGATTTTTCATTTTTTTTTAATGTACTGCTTGTGTTTGTGTGTGTTGTGAGTGTGTGCGCGTGTGTTTTGTGTGTGTATGCGTGTGTTTTGTGTATGTTTGGTTAGGGGTGGTGATGTGGCATGGTGATGTGAGGTTGATGTGTAATGATAATGTCTAGATTACCTTAATGAGTTTAGTATTTGACTTTTTTTTTAGCCATTAGATCATCCGATCTAATTGCTACAATATATTCTCATTTCTTTCATTGAGAACCATTCTCATGTGAACCCAACCCTATATATATATATATATATATATATATGGGGAGGATCCAATGAGTCCACTCCTTAAAATGAGTCCATTCCTTAAGATATATATTAATTAAATAATAAAATAATTAGTAGTTGACTCCGGCGTTGACCGTTGACTTTCGGTGTTGACCATTGACTTCCGGCGAAAAAATCATTGACTTTCGCCGTTGACCGTTGACTTCCGGCGTTGACTCCGACGTTGACCGTTGACTTCCGTCGTTGACCCGTTGACCCCTAGTATGCATTTTATGTATGAAGTAAATATGCATCCAGTACCATGCATTCAATATGAACTAAATATGCATGGGATATGAATTGCACATGCAGTTCTTATGAACTAAATATGCACCAATAATATCAACTAAGTATGCACCTGTTATGAACTAAATATGCATCTGTTATGAACTAAATATGCATCATGAATGAACTAAATATGCAGCGAAAAATATGCAATAAAATGTGCATTTCATGTAGGTAATTTATGATGCATATTTAGTTAATTTTTTAT